CAGACCCAGGTTGACCAAAAACATGGACTAGATTTCTGTATTTAACAAGAATTACTAGCTATTACAAACAAATAGATTGTAACTACAGAAAAAATTATGAAACATCAAAATATAACTGCATACTAGTTAAACTGTCTTATAAATTCACACATGTACAAACAGGCACAAGAAAAAAATGGGTGTTATGGACAGAAAGAAAGAGTGGAAAGGCAGTTCAGTGGTCTCTGTCCACAGGGTTTGCTGTGGTTAATCTTGCGCTAATCAAAATGCTGCTTCTCAATCTTCTTTCTCCAGATGCTTTCACTTGCTCATAGGAGGAACAGGGTGACTGTTTCACACTTTTAACTGACAAGTCAAAGTCCTTTATATGTCACGGCTTGCAGCAACTGAAGGGGAAAAATAACTTGGATATCTTCAGGTTTGAGATGCTTTTTACTGCAGAGCAAAACCAGCTGTTTCTCCTCCAGAGGTCTGATGGTTTCTGACAAAACATTCACACCCCAAGAAATTCTATGATGTATCCCACAGAGAGGGAAAGAGATTTTATAATCAATATGTACATACCCATTGATTTAGGCCTCTTGTAATGCAGTGGTGGTTAAACCAGTTCTTCCCCTATTTCAGTTCACAATCAAAAGTACAGAAAAAAAAGTGTTCTTTACACTGTTAATCTTAATTGAAGTAGGACCTGAATCTCGAAGAATACTCTTCAAACAAAGAGACTGTTGTCAAGCCACATGATGTATTAAGTCAGGTAACGAAAAGCTTGGTCAAGGAGGTGGATTTTCTCCTGTTTGCTAGCCTTCTGGTGCACAAGACAATGGTTTGTGCTTTAATGATCAATTCTGTGTTTTAACACTGGGGCTCGTGAACCACAGCAGGCAGTCTGTATTGCATTTTCTGCAGATGAAGACATTGGTTGAGATGTTGCAGCATTAGTGGGCCTTTTCTTTCTCCGGGCCTTTCTCCAGACCTTCCTTTCTCATGTCAAGGACTTTAAGATTTTAAGAAGCATCTTAGAGGAGGGAGAGATGGAGGGGAAGAGAGGTTTGTGGAGGGAATTCCAGATCTTGGGACCTAGGCAGCTGAAGGAATGACTTCTAGTGGTGGGGCAAAGGAAGGTGGAGGTGGTCAAGAGGCCAGAATTGCAGGAGTGCAGAGCTATCGGAGGGTTATACTGCTAGAAGTGGTTAGAGACATTGGAAGAGAGTGAGTGAGAGAGCGAGTGCAAATGTGGGGGTGGGGCTCTGCATACAACAGTTTGAGCTTAGACATAGACCTGGATTTTCAGAGTTGTGGCAATTCTGGGAACCTTACAAAAGGTTAGGCATGTCCCAAATCTGGAGTCCCACCTCAATATCCAACATAGTCTTATTTTTGCCTGGGTAGGATGGAGCAGGGCATGACTCCTTCATGAAGGCAACCCAAATTCGGCAACTGCAGATGCTGGAGAATCTGAGATAACAAGGTGTAGAGCTGGATGAACACAGCAGGCCAAGCAGCATCAGAGGAGCAGGAAAGCTGACGTTTTGGGTCCGGACCTTTCTTCAGAAAGGGTCATTTTAGCTCAGTGCAGACTGCCTTTCATTTGGAGCAAAGCCCTTATCCTATAGTGTGGGAGTTTAAAATCTTTAGACAAGTCATGAGTGCTCTTGAAAAGTGGGTAAGAAATGCAGAACTGTTGCACTTTCTAGTTATTTATATGGACAGCTGTTTAACAGTTGAAAAGAAAACTGCCTGCCTGTGTTTGTTGCAGTTGAAAAAAAGCTGTTCTAGCAATTATGATGGTCATTCATTTACATACTGCTAAGTGCTATCATATTAGCTTGGTTGTCTTCGTATCATGGTGTTGGGGGTTGCAGGGAGTGTTGGTTAGATTTTTGCAGTTTGAGTGACAGTGTAAAATGAATATTAAAGGATTAGCTGTCTCTGTGGAGTTATGAATACAAGTCTGCTTGATTTGATTAGGGAATGAGCATTTAAGGAGATTTCAATGTTTTGTATGGGGTTCCAGGAATAGAACTCTTAACATAGTGAACTCTGCAATAAGTATCAATAACGTTTATTTTAATATGGCTTCACGTGGCTTCTGAGGTCTGCCCACATTGGATACTGAATGAGTTGGTATAGAGGATATGTGTACCAAAGGTAGTGTGAGAGGGAATAATGGATCAATACTGAGTTGACATAAGAGCTAGAAGAAGGGCCCATGGTATATTTGGGGAGGGCATGAGTTGGTAATAAGTTAATAATATATTTGGTGTGGTCTGCATGGAATTTAGATTGGCATTTGATAAGGTCCCACTGGAAGACTGATCAAGAAAATAAGAACCCATGGGATCCAAAACAAAGTGGGACGTGGGATCCAAAATTGGCTGAAAAGCAGAAAGAAGAGGGTGATGCTAGAAGGATATTTCTATGACTGGAGGCCTCTTCCCAGTGCTGTTGCTGGGGCCCTTGCTGTTTGTAGTATACATTAATGATTGGATTTCAGTGTGTGGGTTATGATCAAGAAGTTCACAGAATTTGGTAGGATGGTAAATAACGAGGAGGATGGCAAGTGCGCAGATCAGCAGCAAATGGAATTCAAGCATGAATAGTGTGAGGTATTGGACTTGGGGAGAGCCAACAAGGCAAAAGGTTTCATACACTCCCAACTGGTAGTACCCTGGAAAGTTCTGAAGATCAGATGGACCTTGACCACAGATCCCTGAAGGTAGCCAGGCAAGTAGATAAGATGGCCAAGAAGCATAAGGATACCTGCCTTTATCAGCCAAGGCATAGAATACAGGAGCAGGGAGGTTTCACTGGAACTGTATAAAATGCACACTGGAAGATCTCCAATATGAGGAATGTTTACATAGGCTGCTGTTGTTTTCCTTGGGTGAGAGGAGACCTGATAGGGCTATAGTAGGATTACGAGGGGCATAGATAAAGGAGATAGGAAGGCAGTTTTTCCATTGGCAGAGGGGTTAATAACCAGGCACATAGATTTAAGATGAGATAGAAGGAGAGGGTTGAGTCTGGAACTCTCTGCCTGGGAAAAGGTGGTTGAATCAGGCGCTCTTGAAACATTTTAAGCAGTATTTAAATATTAACTTGTGTTGCCATAGCTTCCAGGCCATGGGCCAAAATCTTGGAAATGGAATTAGTGTAGTCAGATCTTTGTTGACCAGCGTGGGCACAAAGAGCTGAAGGCCCCTTTCTGTGCTGAAAATGTCTGAGCCTATACAGGTTATAATAGGCCATGGAGATGTATCATGGTCTGAAATCAAAGATATTAGGTGCTATTGGGGATGAGTGGGAGGGCATGGATTGACATGGCCTTATATGTATAGCTATGGAGGGCTGTTGGAGGGATTGAGGGCCAAAGGGTGTAATGTTTGGGAAAATTATGGAAAGATCATAACTTATATAAAATATAGTCAAGTGAAGGCAACATGGCAAGGTCCGATGGCATTTTTCTTTAAATGTAAAGTGGATGAGTTGAGGGTGTTGATTAACCTTTGGGGATGTGGTATTGCCATCGAGGAGACATAGTTGAGGGAGGGGCAGAACTGGCAGCTCTATATTCAGGAGTATAGAATCTTCAGGCAAGATGGCGGGGGTGGGGGGAGGGTGGTGCGGTGGGGGGTGTGCGTGTGTGTCTCAAATGACAGACTGATTACGATGCTCAGAGTCCATGGGATGGGTTTGGGTTCATGGGTCATTTGATAAGTTGAATCCAAATTTGGCTCAGTGGTAGGAAGTTGAGTGTGATGGTTGAAGAGTATTTTTGTGGTGGTAGACTGTATTCAGTGCTTGCACCTTGTTTGTAGTGTGCATTAATTGCGCACAAAAATTCATAGTGCGGTAAACAGCAAGGAGGAAAACCTTAGACTACAGGACAGGATGGTCAGATGAGCTGAACAGTGGCAAATGGAATTTAATCCTGAAAAGTGCAAGGTGATGTATTTTGGGACAGAAAGCAGGGCCAGGGCAAGGGAGTACACATTGATTAGTGGGACCCTGGGAACAACAGAGGATCAGAGGAACCTGGGTATGCATCACCATAGATCCTTGAAGGCAGCAGGACACGTAGATTAAGAGTTTAAGAAGGCAAATGTGATACTTACCTTTACTAATCAATTGAATACAAGAGCAAGGAGGTTATGATGGAGACACACTATAGGAAGCATGTGTTTGCAGTAGAGAGGGTGAAGAGGAGATTCACCAGTATGTTGCTTGTTCTGGAGTGATTCAGCTATACAGAGGGACTAAATAGGCTAAGGTTGTTTTCCTTGGAGCAGAGAAGGCTGCGGAGGTGGCCCTGATTAAGATATACAAAGTTTTGAGAGGGGCATAAATTAGGTAGATAAGGAGAAACCGTTCCTGTTGGTAGAGGTGTCAGTAACCAAGGGGCACAGTTTTAAGGTTAGGAGCAGGAGGCTTAGACAATACTTGAGGAAAGGAAATTTTGCCCTGAGGATGGTGGGGTACTTGATAAAAGTGATAGAGGCTGCAACCCTCAGGGTATTTAAGAACTAATTAGATGAGCACTTAAAAGTCTGTAGCATACAAGGCTGTAGGCCAAGTGATGGAATGTGGTATAAGAACAGATGGATGTTTGGAGAAAACACAGACACGATGGGTCAAAGGGATCATCTCTGTTCTGTAAAAAAAAACTCTGTAACTGGGATGAAGTCCCAGAAAGCTGCCTTGGCCCTCATCAAAATCTTTGGCCACCGTCGATCTGTGTCAGGAGGTGGTGGCCCCTAAGCCTCTGTCCTCCCTCCCACCCTTCATCCACCCAACCAAATGAAGATTCCACCGTTTGGTGGGATGTAGAGGTGTTTCTGAGGAAGATGTGGAAGCTGGTGAATTTCTTGGCTTCCACAACCCATCTCGGGAGTGAAATTCCAGGCTGTCTCTTTGATAGTTTTTGGTGTCAGTTGGAGGGGAAGGGAGCGACTGATTGATTAATCCCTAGCTTGTTTCTTTCTTTTAACTCCTCAGTGAAACCCTCCTGTGTGACAGCGGAGGCAGCTGTGACCGAACTGACGGGCGGAGGTACCATCTTAAACCCATAGATACAGCGCAGGTATTCCGTAAATGGAGTAGCACCCACCCTGAGCTGGGCGCGGCAAACCTATCTGTTTCCGATCACCAGGACCGACTCCTTCCTCATCTGCCCGCGAGGCGCGATACACAGCAGAGAGCACCAGCAACGAAATGGCACAGAGGAGCGCCTGGTGGCCGAGGACAAATGGCCCTCTGCACTAACGGCCGGACTGTACGAGACGGTAGCTGTACCAGCGAGGATCAGCATTGATGCAGGGCGCACCACTGGCTGAAGGATCCGGCTGTTACCCTAACTACCCTGTCCCGCGCCACCATTCCTTCCCCTTGACTTGCGGCTCTCCACTCGAACCCAACCCTCTCTGGTGAGCAGTGCCCAGAAGCAGGAACGGCTGTAGACAGCTTGGAATTTTTTTTTTTGTGTTTATTAAAAGCCAGCACAGGCGAGGCTGGCTCATGCTCCAAACAATCACTGCAAAAGATTTCCTGACCAGGGGGCCTACCCGAAAGTGACACATTTCCTCTTAGCCGAGGGTGAGTGGCTGACACCCAAGGCTGCCAAAGTACAGAAAGCAAAGTCAGCTCTCAGCGCACACTCACACAGAGGAGAGAGAGGAGGAAGAATTGGAAACGACTGGATTTCCGATAATTTACTGTCGGAGTAAGGGACCTGAGGGTACGACTAGCCCTCCATTTCACACTTGGTGCAACCCTCTCCTTGGAAGAAATGGGCAGATAGGATCGAAGCCACTTCTCCTGGTAGGACCATGCTTTTATTTCATGAACATTAACGCTTGTTAAAAAGTTTTCGCAGGGTGAGAAACTGTATTTGGAAAAGAGCAAAGGAGGCTTTCTGTTCACGCACGGTCACTGGTGGAAGATGGGTGAGAGAATGTCTGCATGCTGGACGAGTATTCATAACTAAACTAATCTATCAACTCCTTGGGTGTTGAAAATGTTCATTTTTTTTTTAAACTATTGGCTTCAACCAGCCTTTTTTTTCCTCTCTAAATTAAGCTCAGAATGTCCTCAATCGTCCTGGTTTTTATTTCATGTTTGTATGTCCATGGCAGCTTAAAGGCATTTATTTGTTCCAGTGGAAGACCTTTTAACGTCTCAGGTTTTTTCCTATGCTCTTGGGAAGGTGCCATTTTCAGCATTTGCTCTTTATTACAGTCTACAGCCCTGGGAGGAGAAGAAACCAACGTCTCGCCAAGAGACTGTTATTCCAAGTTTCTGGCCTTTTTTTTTTCCCATCCTCAAATTCTCTTCCCAAATTACAGTTCTGTTTCCTAAAAAGGTAGCAAGTTGGTTGTTATATTATTTCCAGCCAGGACTGGCTGGCATCCCTAGGTGGGGGTGTCTAAATAGTTGTAACAAGTAGATTGTAGGATGCCCTCTTTATATTGGCTGAGCTGCTTCAATTTACCACTGTGCTTCTCTTTTCTATTCTTGCTGATTTTTCTGATTGACTGGCTGTCCAGGTTGCTTTGGGCTGTGCTGGGTGTGCGTTTTGTCTTTGTTTTCATTTGATGTTTGTGCATTCGAGAGGGATCCTCGTGCCCATTAAACCGCCCCCTCGAATCATGCAAAACTTGTGGAACAGCTCAGCAGTTCTGTAGTGCAGCAAGCATGTGTTTGTAGCACAGCTTTGATAACGGTGATTCAGCGTCTTAAGCCTCCTACTGTCAGGCGTTTGTTACATTCCAACAAAGTGGTTTGCAGCTTGGTCTGTCACTGCGAAATACCCTTCACCGCATTGGGTGGCAGTTACAGAGTAGACAGTGTCTGAGAGAGTCATGGATGGGTATAATTGCACACGGTATGGAATTTAATCACAATGTTCAAATTGTTCGTAAGTTTTTCTAAAAAAAACTTACATTTCTGTAGCACCTTTCATAACTTCAGGACACCCATTATGTGCACGTGTCAGTGACATCCTTCTGCATTGTAATATCTGTAATAAACCCAGAAGCCAATTTGTACACAGAAAGCCTTCAGGAACTGCAGTGTGTTACGGACTGGGGTAATCTGATTTGATGGGTTCTAGAGTCATAGAGTTATACAGCACAGAAATAGATCCTTTAGTCCTGCCAGTCCATGCTGACCGTAATCCCAAACTAAACTAATCCCACCTGCCTGTGCTTGGCCTAAATCCCTCCAAAATTTCATATTCATGTACTTACCTAAACGTCTTTTAAACTGTAACTGCATCTTCCTCTGGAAGTTCATTCCACACACCTACCACAGTGTGTAAAAAAAAAAAAAAGAAATTTCCCCTCATATATTTTTTAATCTTTCTCCTTTCATCTTAAAAATATACTATAGTTTGAAATTCCCCCACCCTAGGGAAAAGATACCTGACATTAACCCTCAGGATTTTATAAACCTCCAAAACGTCATCTCTCAACCTCCTATGTTCCAGTGAAGGAAGTGCCAGCCTCTCCAGTTTATGTATCAGTTTGCTCAAGATTGAAATTGGGGCCAGGACATCGGGGATAAACTCCCTTACTCCTCTTCAAAATATATCTGTGGGATTTTTTAACATCCACTTGAGGGGGTACAAATATTAATGTAGAATAATGGATACCTGGGAGTGAGTTACAGACTGGAATCTAAATAAGGGGATCAGATGGTTTATATATAGAATAATGGATACCTGGGAGTGAGTTACAGACTGGAA